CCACGCTTTCCTTGTTAGTTATTTAAATAGTAGTTCATTATTATATTTAAAGAAAATAATTTGTTTTCTCCTTATAGTGCATGATTCTATAAAAGCTTGTTATTAAAACGTTTTTATGCACCCCCCCCCCCCCCCGTCATTTTATGTCTATAGATCCTGTATGTCTTGAATCAGGAGAAGTTCCGTGTTCCCCAATTCTTGTATTGTGGTGTTGTTTGAAAGCAACTAGGCCTAGTGTATTTTCGCCATGTTTATTTTTTATTTTAAGAAATGACCTCTGTTCTAAAATTAGCCACGGTTCAATTTAGCACGGAGAAGTGACGATTAAAAAAAAAAAGAAACGAAGCTTTACATGTTAAACATTTTATTTCTTCTGGGATGTGAACTAGGAACAGTCGTTTGGTGTTTCTAGAGTAGTCGACTAGAGTAGTCGACTAAACAAACACGGTTCGTGCAGTTACCGGCATCACACAAAGCTCCAACACACCCCCAGTGTTTGCACAGTCCTCTAAACATTGGTGTAACTCGGGGCATTGATGGCGTCTTTTAAAAACAAGAAGTTCCGCCGTTTAGAGGGACCGCGGTCTATTGTGCCAGAGCTCTGGCGCGTCTAGGGTAGCAAACAGAACCAATCACTGCCGGCCCCTAGTGGCCTTTTACCGGTGGGCAGGAAAGTACGTGGGACTGTTTAGATATCAAAGAAACTGTTTAGTACATCAGCACCGGTCATTGCCGGAAACAGCCGGTCGTGTTGGAATGTAGCCGGTTAATGCTTGAAGTCAGCCGGCTCATGCTTAGTGTCAGCCGGCACTATGTATAAGATTGTTTTAACACTGTCCTTGGCTGATAACTCAGGGACAGGTGTTCACATCAGCCGTCTTACCCATCTTACCGCCCGTGAGTCCCAACAGAAAAACGTCAGACATCATTACCTATCAATCAATTTATCAATCAATATATCTATCAATTTATCTATCAATATATCAATCAATATATCTATCAATATATCTTTTCTCTAGACAGGTCGAAGGTTCAAATAATAACTGTCACTACAGCAAAGCTCAGGTTTCTGGAAATGTGGTTGCCTTTTCTGGCCCAAGTTAGAGGGCATTAGGGCATGCACACAGTTGAATTGGGCACAATGCAACTCTTGCAGTAGAACTGGGCACAATGCAACTCTTGCAGTAGAACTGGGCACAATGCAACTCTTGCAGTAGAACTGGGCACAATGCAACTCTTGCACTAGAACTGGGCACAATGCAACTCTTGCACTAGAACTGGGCATAATGCAACTCTTGCACTAGAACTGGGCATAATGCAACTCTTGCACTAGAACTGGGCACAATGCAACTCTTGCACTAGAACTGGGCATAATGCAACTCTTGCACTAGAACTGGGCACAATGCAACTCTTGCACTAGAACTGGGCATAATGCAACTCTTGCACTAGAACTGGGCACAATGCAACTCTTGCACTAGAACTGGGCATAATGCAACTCTTGCACTAGAACTGGGCACAATGCTTTTCTTGCACTAGAACTGGGCATAACGCAACTCTTGCACTAGAACTGGGCATAATGCAACTCTTGCAGTAGAACTGGGCACAATGCAACTCTTGCACTAGAACTGGGCACAATGCTTTTCTTGCACTAGAACTGGGCATAATGCAACTCTTGCACTAGAACTGGGCATAATGCAACTCTTGCAGTAGAACTGGGCACAATGCAATTCTTGCACTAGAACTGGGCACAATGCTTTTCTTGCACTAGAACTGGGCATAATGCAACTCTTGCACTAGAACTGGGCATAATGTAAATCTTGCAGTAGAACTGGGCATAATGCAACTCTTGCAGTAGAACTGGCCACAATGCATTTCTTGCACTAGAACGGGACACAATGCAACTCTTGCACTAGAACTGGGCACAATGTAATTCTAGCGACCTCTAGTGCACCGGTCATATATCGAGGCCTATGTTGACACGCGGCCTGCTTTGTTTTTGCACGCAGTTCTAAAAGTATCACCTCAAATACGAAACAAAGGACTAGTTTTAATTAGCTAATTCTCTGTAATATTTATTTCACTTTAAATTACTTTCTTGTAAAATGGAGTATAGAGGAAGTATTATAACCGTACAAAACATCGAAACTAAGATTTTAACAAACTTGACGTTTTACGCCCTCATAGTTTTGTCATCTTGTCCCTCAGTCAGTCTGTTTGTTTGTCTGTCTGTCTAACTTTATGTAAACATGATAATCTGAGTTAAAAAAAAAACAACATAAGAGTTTATTTAACTTGATTCCCCTATCCATCGTCCGTCATAGAGAAGCATGTCAGCGACCGCATACATGAACATGAGACCGACTTTTTTTTGTCACTGTTGTTACCGTTTTTTTCTCTATTTAAAAAACAAAAAAACACACATTTATTAAACATTTTTTGTCACTTTATTTGTTCTCGTTATCTTTGTTACCTTATTTTTGCCATTCACTTTCTCTCACAGGCTGCATCAGACCAGGACTTGTAAGGAAACAAATAAAACTCCAGAGCCGTGTCACCACTAGAAAACACGGACATGGTGCCATAGAAACAGGTGGACCCTAACATGATGTTACCATAGCAACAAGCCGCTGTCCACGATGACGTCGACCGAGTTCCACGGCAAGTTCAAGGTCACTGCCTTGTTCATCTTCGGCTTCCTGCTGGGCACCTACCTGTTTTCGGAGATCCGGCCCTCGCTCCGGCTCCGGTTCAACGACTGCCGGATCAAGGCCATGCAGGCCGTCAAGGCGAGGATCGACGCCTTCCGACGCCAGACTCGCGAGGCGCCTGACTCAGCGCCGGACACTGACGCCGAGCCGAGGTCAGAGGTTAAGGACGAGAAGTTTCTGTTTATCGGCATCATGACGGCCCGGAAGTTTCTGGACACGAGGGCGTTGGCCAGCAGCCGGACATGGGTGCCGCGCGTCCCCGGGAGGGTTGTTTACTTTCTAGGGGAGGGGGAGGAATACAAAGGTCAGGACTCTTAACATTCAATCTTCATTCTTTATGTTAGCATTCTTTAAGGTCTTATTGTTAACATTCTCTCTAACGACATTCTAAAACTTCAACTTCACGAAAAAATGTTAACATCCAGTAGTAGCTAAAGTACACTTTTATTCAAATGTTAATATACCCACGCACTGGCAAACAAAATGTTAACACCCCACCCTCATGTAAACAAAAGGTTGACTCCCCACCCTCATGTAAACAAATGTTAACACACTCACCCTCATGTGAACATAATGTTAACACCCCACCCTTATGTAAAAAGCTGTTAACAACCCACCCTCATGTAAACAAACGTGTTAACAAATGTTAACACCTCACCCTCATGTAAACAAATGTTAACACCTCACTCTCATGTAAACAAATGTTAACACCTCACCCTCATTTAAACAAATGTTAACACCTCACCCACATGTAAACAAATGTTAACACCCCAGCCTCATGTAAACAAATGTTAACACCTCACCCTCATGTAAACAAATGTTAACACCCCCACCCTCATGTAAACAAAATGTTGATTCCCCACCCTCATGTAAACAAATGTTAACACCCCCACCCTCATGTAAACAAATGTTAACACCCCCACCCTCATGTAAACAAATGTTAACACCTCACCCTCATGTAAACAAATGTTAACACCCCCACCCCCCAGGTAGCCTGAACGTGATCCAGCTGAAGGGGGTGAAGGAGAACGACTACCCCCCACAGAAGAAATCTTTCGCCATGGTGGACTACATGAGCAAACACTTCGCCAGGGACTACAAGGTTAGTCCTGTTGTCACGTGGTCTACTGGTCAGTCCTGTTGTCACGTGCTACTGGTCAGTCCTGCTGTCACGTGCTGGGTCTACTGGTCAGTCCTGTTGTCACGTGCTACTGGTCAGTCCTGCTGTCACGTGCTACTGGTCAGTCCTGTTGTCACGTGCTGGGTCTACTGGTCAGTCCTGTTGTCACGTGCTGGGTCTACTGGTCAGTCCTGTTGTCACGTGCTACTGGTCAGTCCTGTTGTCACGTGCTGGGTCTACTGGTCAGTCCTGCTGTCACGTGCTGAGTCTACTGGTCAGTCCTGTTATCACGTGCTGGGTCTACTGGTCAGTCCTGTTGTCACGTGCTGGGTCTACTGGTCAGTCCTGTTGTCACGTGCTACTGGTCAGTCCTGCTGTCACGTGCTGGGTCTACTGGTCAGTCCTGCTGTCACGTGCTGGGTCTACTGGTCAGTCCTGTTGTCACGTGCTGGGTCTACTGGTCAGTCCTGTTATCACGTGCTGGGTCTACTGGTCAGTCCTGCTGTCACGTGCTGAGTCTACTGGTCAGTCCTGTTGTCACGTGCTGGGTCTACTGGTCAGTCCTGTTGTCACGTGCTGAGTCTACTGGTCAGTCCTGCTGTCACGTGGTAGTGGTCAGTCCTGTTGTCACGTGCTACTGGTCAGTCCTGTTGTCACGTGCTGGGTCTACTGGTCAGTCCTGTTGTCACGCGCTGGGTCTACTGGTCAGTCCTGTTATCACGTGCTGGGTCTACTGGTCAGTCCTGCTGTCACGTGCTACTGGTCAGTCCTGCTGTCACGTGCTACTGGTCAGTCCTGTTGTCACGTGCTGGGTCTACTGGTCAGTCCTGTTGTCACGTGCTACTGGTCAGTCCTGTTGTCACGTGCTACTGGTCAGTCCTGTTGTCACGTGCTGGGTCTACTGGTCAGTCCTGTTGTCACGTGCTGGGTCTACTGGTCAGTCCTGTTGTCACGTGCTGGGTCTACTGGTCAGTCCTGTTGTCACGTGCTGGGTCTACTGGTCAGTCCTGTTGTCACGTGCTACTGGTCAGTCCTGTTGTCACGTGCTACTGGTCAGTCCTGTTGTCACGTGCTGGGTCTACTGGTCAGTCCTGTTATCACGTGCTGGGTCTACTGGTCAGTCCTGTTATCACGTGCTGGGTCTACTGGTCAGTCCTGCTGTCACGTGCTACTGGTCAGTCCTGTTGTCACGTGGTACTGGTCAGTCCTGTTGTCACGTGCTGGGTCTACTGGTCAGTCCTGTTGTCACGTGCTGGGTCTACTGGTCAGTCCTGTTGTCACGTGCTGGGTCTACTGGTCAGTCCTGTTGTCACGCGCTGGGTCTACTGGTCAGTCCTGTTATCACGTGCTGGGTCTACTGGTCAGTCCTGTTATCACGTGCTGGGTCTACTGGTCAGTCCTGCTGTCACGTGCTGGGTCTACTGGTCAGTCCTGCTGTCACGTGATGGGTCTACTGGTTAGTCCTGCTGTCACGTGCTGGGTCTACTGGTCAGTCCTGTTGTCACGTGCTGGGTCTACTGGTCAGTCCTGTTGTCACGTGCTACTGGTCAGTCCTGTTGTCACGTGCTGGGTCTACTGGTCAGTCCTGCTGTCACGTGCTGGGTCTACTGGTCAGTCCTGCTGTCACGTGCTACTGGTCAGTCCTGCTGTATTGTAACCTACTTTGTCACCAAATCACCCCCAGTATCACCACATAACCTACTGTGTCACAAAATCACTTACTGATGTGTGTCTTTTAATAGCTAAATAATTATAAACCTTGTGACACATGTGTAGCTGATCATCCTTTCAGCACATGTATAGTTGATTGTAACACATGTGTAGTCGATTAACCTTGTAACACATGTGTAGCCGATAAACCTTGTAACACATGTGTAGCCGATAAACCTTGTAGCACATGTGTAGTCGATAAACCTTGTAGCACATGTGTTACTGATTTAACGCTCCAGTGGTTTAATGTTTCTACGAAACCTAACGTGTTTAATGTTTCTACATAACGTAACGTGTTTAGATTTAGATCTACCGAAAAGTTCAAGTCGTTGTTTGAGAAACTTAACACACGGCGCGCGCTTCAATGACGCGGTAGACACGTGATCGGTGCCAGACGTGACCGTATGACGGGAGGTGTTGGTGAAGTAGTTTGGACTGGAACTAGAGCACGGACGTGGGTGGGGTAGGGGGGGGGGGGGGAATGATTTGGAGTCATAAGCGTTTTAAAAAATCAGCTGTATTTTAACGCAGCCGTACTGAGAAGTAAAGTCATGACCTAGGGTTGTAAGGTATATCTGTCATTGGGGTGTTTGTGTAAGGGGGGGGGGTATATCTGTCATAGGGGTGTGTGGTTAGAGGGGGGGGGGGGGGTGAAGCACACTTTAAAACAAAAATTTTGTTGTTGTTAGGTATATCTGTTATATGTGTTTTGGGTGTTGTCTACAGACTTCGCTGCTGAAATCTAGTGGTCAAACTATGAGTGTACTAGCGACCAGCTAGTTGTTGAAATCCTGGTTTTGATATTATGATTCGCTAAATGCTATTCATGAAAGTAAAAAATTCCTCTTTATAAAAAATATAAATTTTATCATCGTCGTAGATTTACTTCAAAGAAAGTATGCACATCTAAACCCCCTCCTCACTCACTCATACTGGAAGAAAATTTAAAAATAAATAAATCTCCCTTCAACTCGAGACATGGAGTTTTCAGAAATCACCTTTGGTGCTGTATGATTGGTCAGCACAAGTCCTATTTAAAGGACTTCTTGAGACGTGAAACTACATGTGAGCGATACGGAAAGTTGACAAGTTCAGTGGCTGAACTAGATCTGGTAGAGTCGCCGTCGTCTGGGGAAATGTGTGAAAGGTAGAGACCGTTTTTTTTTTATGGCCAGCTGATTGGGGCTATGCGTTTTGTTGCCATTTGTTTGCAGCCATGTGCTTGGTGGCCATGGGTTCGGGGAGTGGGGGGGGGGGGGGGGAGGGTAGAACGTCTTTAATTTCACTGGCTGTTGAATATCAAACGGCTGAGTTAGAGTTCACTCCTCGACTAGAGGCTGACAATGTTTGACCTACTAGAGACTGACAATGTTTGACCTACTAGAGGCTGACAATGTTTGACCTACTGGTGACTGACAATGTTTGACCTACTAGGACAATGTTTGACCTACTAGAGACTGACAATGTTTGACCTACTTGAGACTGACAATGTTTGACCTACTAGAGATTGACAATGTTTGACCTACTTGAGACTGACAATGTTTGACCTACTAGAGATTGACAATGTTTGACCTACTAGAGACAATGTTTGACCTACTAGAGACAATGTTTGACCTACTAGAGACTGACAATGTTTGACCTACTAGAGACTGACAATGTTTGACCTACTTGAGACTGACAATGTTTGACCTACTAGAGATTGACAATGTTTGACCTACTAGAGACTGACAATGTTTGACCTACTAGAGGCAATGTTTGACCTACTAGAGACTGACAATGTTTGACCTACTAGAGACTGACAATGTTTGACCTACTAGAGACTGACAATGTTTGACCTACTAGAGGCAATGTTTGACCTACTAGAGACTGACAATGTTTGACCTACTAGAGACTGACAATGTTTGACCTACTAGAGACAATGTTTGACCTACTAGAGACTGACAATGTTTGACCTACTAGAGGCTGACAATGTTTGACCTACTGGTGACTGACAATGTTTGACCTACTAGGACAATGTTTGACCTACTAGAGACTGACAATGTTTGACCTACTTGAGACTGACAATGTTTGACCTACTAGAGATTGACAATGTTTGACCTACTTGAGACTGACAATGTTTGACCTACTAGAGATTGACAATGTTTGACCTACTAGAGACAATGTTTGACCTACTAGAGACAATGTTTGACCTACTAGAGACTGACAATGTTTGACCTACTAGAGACTGACAATGTTTGACCTACTTGAGACTGACAATGTTTGACCTACTAGAGATTGACAATGTTTGACCTACTAGAGGCAATGTTTGACCTACTAGACACTGACAATGTTTGACCTACTAGAGACTGACAATGTTTGACCTACTAGAGACTGACAATGTTTGACCTACTAGAGACTGACAATGTTTGACCTACTAGAGACTGACAATGTTTGACGTACTAGAGACTGACAATGTTTGACCTACTAGAGACAGTCAATGTTTGACCTAGTAGAGACTGACAATGTTTGACCTACTAGAGACTGACAATGTTTGACCTACTAGAGACTGACAATGTTTGACCTACTAGAGACAGTCAATGTTTGACCTAGTAGAGACTGACAATGTTTGACCTACTAGAGGCTGACAATGTTTGACCTACTTGAGACTGACAATGTTTGACCTACTAGAGGCTGACAATGTTTGACCTACTAGAGATTGGCAATGTTTGACCTACTAGAGACTGACAATGTTTGACCTACTAGAGACAGTCAATGTTTGACCTACTTGAGACAATGTTTGACCTACTAGAGACTGACAATGTTTGACCTACAAGAGGCAATGTTTGACCTACTAGAGATTGACAATGTTTGACCTACTAGAGGCTGACCATGTTTGACCTACTAGAGGCTGACAATGTTTGACCTACTAGAGACTGACAATGTTTGACCTACTAGAGACTGACCTATTTGAGACTGACATTGTTTGACCTACTAGAAGCTGACAATGTTTGACCTACTAGAGACTGACAATGTTTGACCTACTAGAGGCTGTCAATGTTTGACCTACTAGAGACTGACAATGTTTGACCTACCTTCCAGTGGCTGATCCGTGCAGACGATGACGTGTACATGAAGGTGGACGAACTGGTCAGGTTCCTCAAGTCTATTGACGACTCCAAGCCTCTGTATATAGGTCAGCCTGGCTTCGGCAAGCCGGTCGAAGAGGGTGAGTACCGTCAGAAGCAAGGCCCGATAACTCTAATGTTAAGATAGATAACTCTAATGTTAAGATAGATAACTCTAATGTTAAGATAGATAACTCTAATGTTAAGATACATAACTCTAATGTTAAGATAGATAACTCTAACTTTAAGATAGATAACTCTAATTTTAAGATAACTCAGGTAACATTGATTTAATGACTTGTTGACATAATCGACATTATTTTTAATTTTTTTTTTATTTCAGGCAAACTCGGCCTCGCAGGGGCGTTCTGTATGGGGGGCCCTGGAGTGATCATGACGTCAAAGATTGTGACGGGGGTGGCCCCGGGGCTCAAAGATTGCCTAAAGGTCACGGTCACGGGACACGAAGACACGGAGCTGGGGCGGTGCATCACCATTAACACGGGGGTGCAGTGTACCATAGCGTTTCAGGTGGGCGCCAGACTGTAGCTCATAGTCACCTGGACATGATATGCTTTAAAAAAATAGATTTTTTTTTAACCCTTTTGGGAGCCCAGTAGGCATTCTAGTTCCGCTACATAAATATATGTATCACCATGACATTTTCTCATGCAAATCTCCCTCATATTTCATTCTCTAATACAAATCTCTCTCATATGTCATTCTCTCATACAAATCTCCCCAGCCATTACATGTGTACCTCCCCTCCTCAGATGAAAGAGCTCTTCTACCAAAACTACGCCGAGCTGGAGTTACCCAACAGTTCCTTCAAGAAAGGTCTGGGGAAGGACGAGCAGAAAGCCTTGACCCTGCACCCCATCAAAGAAGCCTCCTATGTCTTCAGGATGGACAATTTCTTTAGCAACGTTACAATGCAGGTGAGATTTCTTCCGTAAGATTATAATTCAGGTGAGATTTCTTCAGTAAGATAACAATTCATGTGAGATTTCTTCAGTAAGATTACAATTCAGGTGAGATTTCCTCAGTAAGATTACAATTCAGGTGAGATTTCCTCAGTAAGATTACAATTCAGGTGAGATTTCTTCAGTAAGATTACAATTCAGGTAAGATTTCTTCAGTAAGATTACAATTCAGGTGAGATTTCTTTAGTAAGATTACAATTCGAGTAACGATTACTTTAGCAACATTACAATTCAGGTGACAAAACAATTTGTTCCATAAAATGATAAAACGTTGAAATCTGCCCTCTTTGATTGGTCGAAACCCTACCTTCTGCCATTTAACATAGATAAAAAAAAAACATTTTTGCTGTTTCTAAAACAAGTGAAAAAAAACTGAGCGTAATGAATGTGAAATTAGTTAATTCGTACTAGTAGCCAGAGTTTTTACTAGGCATCTCTTCTTTTGGGGGGGTGGGGGGGGGGGGGGGTCGGAGGTAGGTTTTTAAGTCACACAAAAATTGACACTAAATATGTATCGGAAACTTTTCTTTTTCTGCACTGGTTTTTTAAAGATTATAAACACACTTAATAACGGAACAACGAAGGCAATCTAATGCATTTTCTATATTAATTTTGAAATTATAATTCACCTTTATCAACAGAAACTCCGAGAAAAGCAAAAGATGCTAAAAGTGGAAATGGACAAGTTCGACAAGATTATTTTTGGTAACAATGGCCGACCCGCGAGCAAAGCTTCCGTTTCCGGTTCATCACAACCAGTGCACGATGACGTCCAGAGTGACACGACGATATTCCAAGGTGATCATCACGTGATTATACTGTCCCCACAAGTCACGTGATCGTACTGTCCCCACACGTCACCTGATCGTACTGTCCCCACAAACAAACCATTTGGTAGCGATAGGTAATCACGTGATTCCCGTGACGTCTGCTGTCTTGTGTTTCAGATGCCGTCAGAAGGCGACGCGGCCACGTCATCAACATGGATCAGATCCGTCTGCTGCCCGAGGTTAGTGGATGCCTCACTGCCCACCCCTCTGTCTTTAGTGGATGCTCCACTGTCCACCCCTCTGTCTTTAGTGGACGCTCCACTTCCACCCCTCTGTCTTTAGTGGATGCTCCACTTCCACCCATCTGTCTTTAGTGGATGCTCCACTGCCCACCCCTCTGTCTTTAGTGGATGCTCCACTTCCACCCCTCTGTCTTTAGTGGATGCTCCACTGCCCACCCCTCTGTCTTTAGTGGATGCTCCACTGCCCACCCCTCTGTCTTTAGTGGATGCTCCACTGCCCACCCCTCTGTCTTTAGTGGATGCCCCACTGCCCACCCCTCTGTCTTTAGTGGATGCTCCACTGCCCACCCCTCTGTCTTTAGTGGATGCTCCACTGCCCACCCCTCTGTCTTTAGTGGATGCTCCACTGCCCACCCCTCTGTCTTTAGTGGATGCCTCACTGCCCACCCCTCTGTCTTTAGTGGATGCTCCACTGCCCACCCCTCTGTCTTTAGTGGATGCTCCACTGCCCACCCCTCTGTCTTTAGTGGATGCTCCACTGTCCACTTCTCTGTCTTTAGTGGATGCCCCACTGCCCACCCCTCTGTCTTTAGTGGATGCCCCACTGCCCACCCCTCTGTCTTTAGTGGATGCCCCACTGCCCACCCCACTGTCTTTAGTGGATGCTCCACTGCACACCCCTCTGTCTTTAGTGGATGCTCCACTGCCCACCCCTCTGTCTTTAGTGGATGCTCCACTGCACACCCCTCTGTCTTTAGTGGATGCTCCACTGCACACCCCTCTGTCTTTAGTGGATGCTCCACTGCCCACCCCTCTGTCTTTAGTGGATGCCCCACTGCCCACCCCACTGTCTTTAGTGGATGCTCCACTGCACACCCCTCTGTCTTTAGTGGATGCTCCACTGCCCACCCCTCTGTCTTTAGTGGATGCTCCACTGCCCACCCCTCTGTCTTTAGTGGATGCTCCACTGCACACCCCTCTGTCTTTAGTGGATGCTCCACTGCCCACCCCTCTGTCTTTAGTGGATGCTCCACTGCCCACCTCTCTGTCTTTAGTGGATGCCCAACTGCCCAAATCTGTCCACCCCTCTGTCTTTAGTGGATGCCCCACTGCCCACCCCTCTGCCTTTAGTGGATTCCCCACTGCCCACCCCTCTGTCTTTAGTGGATGCTCCACTGCCCACCCCTCTGTCTTTAGTGGATGCTCCACTGCCCACCCCTCTGTCTTTAGTGGATGCTCCACTGCCCACCTCTCTGTCTTTAGTGGATGCTCCACTGTCCACTTCTCTGTCTTTAGTGGATGCTCCACTGCCCACCCCTCTGTCTTTAGTGGATGCCCCACTGCCCACCCCTCTGTCTTTAGTGGATGCTCCACTGCCCACCCCTCTGTCTTTAGTGGATGCTCCACTGCCCACCCCTCTGTCTTTAGTGGATGCTCCACTGTCCACCCCTCTGTCTTTAGTGGATGCTCCACTGCCCACCCCTCTGTCTTTAGTGGATGCTCCACTGTCTTTAGTGGATTCCCCACTGCCCACCCCTCTGTCTTTAGTGGATGCTCCACTGCCCACCCCTCTGTCTTTAGTGGATGCCCCACTGCCCACCCCTCTGTCTTTAGTGGATTCCCCACTGCCCACCCCTCTGTCTTTAGTGGATTCCCCACTGCCCACCCCTCTGTCTTTAGTGGATGCTCCACTGCCCACCCCTCTGTCTTTAGTGGATGCTCCACTGCCCACCCCTCTGTCTTTAGTGGATGCTCCACTGTCCACTTCTCTGTCTTTAGTGGATGCTCCACTGTCCACTTCTCTGTCTTTAGTGGATGCTCCACTGTCCACCCCTCTGTCTTTAGTGGATGCCCCACTGCCCACCCCTCTGTCTTTAGTGGATGCTCCACTGCCCACCCCTCTGTCTTTAGTGGATGCCCCACTGCCCACCCCTCTGTCTTTAGTGGATGCTCCACTGCCCACCCCTCTGTCTTTAGTGGATGCTCCACTGCCCACCCCTCTGTCTTTAGTGGATGCCCCACTGCCCACCCCTCTGTCTTTAGTGGATGCTCCACTGTCCACCCCTCTGTCTTTAGTGGATGCTCCACTGCCCACCCCTCTGTCTTTAGTGGATGCTCCACTGTCTTTAGTGGATGCCCCACTGCCCACCCCTCTGTCTTTAGTGGATGCCCCACTGTCTTTAGTGGATTCCCCACTGCCCACCCCTCTGTCTTTAGTGGATGCTCCACTGCCCACCCCTCTGTCTTTAGTGGATGCCCCACTGCCCACCCCTCTGTCTTTAGTGGATTCCCCACTGCCCACCCCTCTGTCTTTAGTGGATTCCCCACTGCCCACCCCTCTGTCTTTAGTGGATGCTCCACTGCCCACCCCTCTGTCTTAAGTGGATGCTCCACTGCCCACCCCTCTGTCTTTAGTGGATGCTCCACTGCCCACCCCTCTGTCTTTAGTGGATGCTCCACTGTCCACCCCTCTGTCTTTAGTGGATGCTCCACTGCCCACCCCTCTGTCTTTAGTGGATGCTCCACTGTCTTTAGTGGATGCCCCACTGCCCACCCCTCTGTCTTTAGTGGATGCCCCACTGTCTTTAGTGGATTCCCCACTGCCCACCCCTCTGTCTTTAGTGATGCTCCACTGCCCACCCCTCTGTCTTTAGTGGATGCCCCACTGCCCACCCCTCTGTCTTTAGTGGATTCCCCACTGCCCACCCCTCTGTCTTTAGTGGATTCCCCACTGCCCACCCCTCTGTCTTTAGTGGATGCTCCACTGCCCACCCCTCTGTCTTTAGTGGATGCCCCACTGCCCACCCCTCTGTCTTTAGTGGATGCTCCACTGTCCACTTCTCTGTCTTTAGTGGATGCTCCACTGTCCACTTCTCTGTCTTTAGTGGATGCCCCACTGCCCACCCCTCTGTCTTTAGTGGATGCCCCACTGCCCACCCCTCTGTCTTTAGTGGATGCTCCACTGCCCACCCCTCTGTCTTTAGTGGATGCCCCACTGCCCACCCCTCTGTCTTTAGTGGATGCTCCACTGCCCACCCCTCTGTCTTTAGTGGATGCTCCACTGTCCACCCCTCTGTCTTTAGTGGATGCTCCACTGCCCACCCCTCTGTCTTTAGTGGATGCTCCACTGTCTTTAGTGGATGCCCCACTGCCCACCCCTCTGTCTTTAGTGGATGCCCCACTGTCTTTAGTGGATTCCCCACTGCCCACCCCTCTGTCTTTAGTGGATGCTCCACTGCCCACCCCTCTGTCTTTAGTGGATGCCCCACTGCCCACCCCTCTGTCTTTAGTGGATTCCCCACTGCCCACCCCTCTGTCTTTAGTGGATTCCCCACTGCCCACCCCTCTGTCTTTAGTGGATGCTCCACTGCCCACCCCTCTGTCTTTAGTGGATGCTCCACTGCCCACCCCTCTGTCTTTAGTGGATGCTCCACTGCCCACCCCTCTGTCTTTAGTGGATTCCCCACTGCCCACCCCTCTGTCTTTAGTGGATGCTCCACTGCCCACCCCTCTGTCTTTAGTGGATGCCCCACTGCCCACCCCTCTGTCTTTAGTGGATGCTCCACTGTCCACTTCTCTGTCTTTAGTGGATGCTCCACTGTCCACTTCTCTGTCTTTAGTGGATGCTCCACTGCCCACCCCTCTGTCTTTAGTGGATGCCCCACTGCCCACCCCTCTGTCTTTAGTGGATGCTCCACTGCCCACCCCTCTGTCTTTAGTGGATGCCCCACTGCCCACCCCTCTGTCTTTAGTGGATGCTCCACTGCCCACCCCTCTGTCTTTAGTGGATGCCCCACTGCCCACCCCTCTGTCTTTAGTGGATGCTCCACTGTCCACTTCTCTGTCTTTAGTGGATGCTCCACTGTCCACTTCTCTGTCTTTAGTGGATGCTCCACTGTCCACCCCTCTGTCTTTAGTGGATGCCCCACTGCCCACCCCTCTGTCTTTAGTGGATGCTCCACTGCCCACCCCTCTGTCTTTAGTGGATGCTCCACTGTCCACCCCTCTGTCTTTAGTGGATGCTCCACTGTCCACCCCTCTGTCTTTAGTGGATGCTCCACTGCCCACCCCTCTGTCTTTAGTGGATGCCCCACTGCCCACCCCTCTGTCTTTAGTGGATGCTCCACTGCCCACCCCTCTGTCTTTAGTGGATGCCCCACTGCCCACCCCTCTGTCTTTAGTGGATGCTCCACTGCCCACCCCTCTGTCTTTAGTGGATTCCCCACTGCCCACCCCTCTGTCTTTAGTGGATTCCCCACTGCCCACCCCTCTGTCTTTAGTGGATGCTCCACTGCCCACCCCTCTGTCTTTAGTGGATGCTCCACTGCCCACCCCTCTGTCTTTAGTGGATGCTCCACTGTCCACCCCTCTGTCTTTAGTGGATGCTCCACTGCCCACCCCTCTGTCTTTAGTGGATGCTCCACTGTCTTTAGTGGATGCCCCACTGCCCACCCCTCTGTCTTTAGTGGATGCCCCACTGTCTTTAGTGGATTCCCCACTGCCCACCCCTCTGTCTTTAGTGGATTCCCCACTGCCCACCCCTCTGTCTTTAGTGGATGCTCCACTGCCCACCCCTCTGTCTTTAGTGGATGCTCCACTGCCCACCCCTCTGTCTTTAGTGGATGCTCCACTGCCCACCCCTCTGTCTTTAGTGGATGCTCCACTGTCTACCCCTCTGTCTTTAGTGGATGCTCCACTGCCCACCCCTCTGTCTTTAGTGGATGCTCCACTGTCTTTAGTGGATGCCCCACTGCCCACCCCTCTGTCTTTAGTGGATGCTCCACTGCCCACCCCTCTGTCTTTAGTGGATGCTCCACTGTCCACCCCTCTGTCTTTAGTGGATGCTCCACTGCCCACCCCTCTGTCTTTAGTGGATGCTCCACTGTCTTTAGTGGATGCCCCACTGCCCACCCCTCTGTCTTTAGTGGATGCCCCACTGTCTTTAGTGGATTCCCCACTGCCCACCCCTCTGTCTTTAGTGGATGCTCCACTGCCCACCCCTCTGTCTTTAGTGGATGCCCCACTGCCCACCCCTCTGTCTTTAGTGGATGCCCCACTGCCCACCCCTCTGTCTTTAGTGGATGCCCCACTGCCCACCCCTCTGTCTTTAGTGGATGCTCCACTGCCCACCCCTCTGTCTTTAGTGGATGCCCCACTGCCCACCCCTCTGTCTTTAGTGGATGCTCCACTGCCCACCCCTCTGTCTTTAGTGGATGCTCCACTGCCCACCTCTCTGTCTTTAGTGGATGCTCCACTGCCCAAATCTGCCCACCCCTCTGTCTTTAGTGGATGCCCCACTGCCCAAATCTGCACACCCCTCTGTCTTACCAGATACCCTTCCGCCCTATATAATAGTGTCCTTTAACCATCCTAACGACGAAGGTTAATAGTTAATGAAGCATTTTAAACTCTCATGAAAATTATAAAATTGTTGAAAAAATGCTTTTTTCAGGGTAAATCTATCTACCATGGGCCGGATCGATCCTGGGAATTTATTCGATACAAGCGGATGTTTAGCACGACGTTTGAGACGGGCAAGTTGGAGTTCTCCATCGAGTACAAGAGAAGAACCGAGCTGCACCAGGAGATGGTTAAGTGAGCATGGGGAGGGGGTAGGATTTGGGGCGGGAGGGGGGGAGGGAATGGGGAGAGGGTAGGATGGGAAGGGGTGGAATGGAGACGGGGAGGGGGGAAAGGCAGAAGGGTGGTAGTGGATAGCTTTGTCAAATGATGAGTTACACAACACTTGTTGATTGCGCGGCGTAATGTTAGGAGACGACATGTTGGATGATTGTGTGACGTCATGTTGGATGATTGTGTGACGTCATGTTGGATGATTGTGTGACGTCATGTTGGATGATTGTGTGACGTCATGTTGGATGATTGTGTGACGTCATGTTGGATGATTGTGTGACGTCATGTCGGACGATTGTGTGACGTCATGTTGAGTGACTGTGAGACATATAAGTCACTATCACGAACGTGATCCACCTCTCTCACACAGTCACGTGAAAGCGCTCCCTGACCTCTCGAGGTCAAGCCCTAAGTTTGTGAACGAGACCTACCACCGGACCACCACCAACCGGGGGGTGGAGGTCTTGCTTTTCGTCAAAAAGTGGCACCAAAACAAAAAGTACATCCAACCTATTTACCTCAGGAAGCCCTTTCACCCCGCCCTGGTGGACTTTAGGTAGGAATTACACCCCTTTTGACATTTTTCTTAACGTGGTTACGGCCCTTGATCGTGTTGACAACCCTCGCACGCTCGACTGATTGTCACGCTTGGTTGGTTCCGGTAGGGAGGCGGACCGAGGGGACGAGGAGCTGGGGGAGAGGGGGAAGACGATCTACATGCTGATGCCGCTGTTCCAGAGGTCAGCCATCTACAAACGGTTCCTGGACATGCACGCATCGGCTGTTGCGGGTGAGTAGTTTTTTTCTCTGTCGTTGGTAGGTCAGGTGTTAGCTAGTCAGGACATGTGTACCGCCAACCCCTGATATTTATGTCATCCAGCCAATCCCTGACATTTATGCCGCCAACCCCTGACATGTATACCACCAACACCTGACATTTATACCGCCAACCCCTGACATTTGTACCGCCAACCCGTGACATTTATACCGCCAACACCTGACATTTATACCGCCAACCCCTGACCACCAACCCCTGACATTTGTACCACCAACCCCTGACCACCAACCCCTGACATTTGCACCGCCAACCCCTGAGATCTTCTATGACCTACCATGTCTAGCTAGACGGTTCTATTTTTAGGCTACAAGGGCAAGGTCGAGCTGAGACTGGTCGTGTTTATTGACGACAGGGGAGAGTACAAGCTCCTCTCCACTATGACGTCATCCATCTTGGACAGCCGGCCCTACCTGGACATTAGGGTCATCTATCTAGACGAGCCCTTCAACAGGGGCAAAGGTCAGTACCTTGACTAGTAAGGTCACCGCTACAGCAGCTAAAAATAAAATACACGATGTTATTACTAACTTAATCGAGGGGAAGTAAAGTTGTCAACATCTTAGTGCGGAACACGACGGGGTTCCACGGTAAATAGTATTTAAACTTTTGGGGTTGTTTGCAGCAACAAAGAAGCATTGCTTAAAAATAAGAAAAGAAAAAAGAACGAAAAAAGAATAAAGTAGCTAAAGGGAAGCAACCGCACAATATATTTCAGGTTTGATGACAGCACTGGCTGACCTCCCCTACACATCGCTACTTTTGTTTATGGACGTGGACATGGAATATTCCTCCCATTTCCTGCATCGTGTGTCCAAGTACACCGTCATGGGCCAGAGCACATTCTTCCCTATTTATTTTGTGCATTTTAAGTAGGTTTTTGGTACATTTTCCCCTATTTATTTTGTTAATTTAATTCATACAATGCACCGTCTTCTATTAACCTATTCCCCATAATCCATAGCTCCCTACTAGCGTATTTCCCCTATTCCCCACTCCCTATACCCTCATATTCCCCAGCCCCTACTAACGTATCTCCCCCCCCCCATATTCCCCGCCCCTACTAACGTATTCCCGATATCCCCCACCCCCTACTAACGTACCCCCACCCCCTACCAACGTACCCCCCATATCCCCACCCCCTATTAAGGTACTCCCCCACCATATTCCCCACCCCCTACTAACGTCCACCACCCCCCATATTCCCCCACCCCCTACTAACGTACCCCTACCAACGTACCCCCCCCCCATATCCCCCACCCCCTACTAACGTCCACCACCCCCCATATTACCCCACCCCCTACTAACGTCCACCACCCCCCATATTACCCCACCCCCTACTAACGTACCCCCCTCATGTCCCCAGCCCCGACTCTATATGCTACAAGCAAGAGGACTGTGACACCCTACTAACGCCCCCCCCCCGTACCCCCTACTAACGTACCCCCCTCGTATCCCCAGCCCCGACTCTATATGCTACAAGCAAGAGGACTGTGACACCCTACTAACGCCCCCCCCGTACCCCCTACTAACGTACCCCCCTCGTATCCCCACCCCTACTAACGTACCCCCCTCGTATCCCCACCCCTACTAACGTACCCCCCTCGTATCCCCAGCCCCGACTCTATATGCTACAAGCAAGAGGACTGTGACACCCTGCTCAACAGCCGCCGTGACGAGGTGGGGTTGTGGCGGAGCTTCAGCTACGGTATAGGGGCCGTCTACAAGAAGGATCTTATCAAGTAAGTATTGATATGACATATAGACTATAAATGTCACCTAGCTGTCATCATGACATCCAGGTAGATTTGTATTTAAGGATCTTATAAGTGTAGACAGGACATCTAGATGTCACCTGATTGTCATCGTTACTTGGATAAATGAAGAAGAAATATTAGTTCTGTGTTTAGTTTTTTTTAAAGTTATAAATCAACACTTTACACAAATTAAAACTTGTATGGTTAGTGTATGAATATAATTTTGCTAAACATTTAAGTTAAAATAAATTGTTGCCAAAACCGAACCGGTAAACTTTTCTCCCCCCCCCCCCCCCACAGAGCAGGAGGGTTTAAGACGGACATCGTGGGCTGGGGCCTGGAGGACGTGGACTTCTATGAAAAGTGTATCGCTCTAGGTCTGGCGGTGGTGCGGGGTTCGGATCCCTCTTTGATACACAGGTGAGTAGAGTCATGCACTCTTTGATACACAGGTGAGTACAGTAATCGTGCACTCTCTGATACACAGGTGAGTAGTGTCATGCACTCTCTGATACACAGGTGAGTAGTGTCATGCACTCTCTGATACACAGGTGAGTACAGTAATCGTGCACTCTCTGATACACAGGTGAGTACAGTAATCGTGCACTCTCTGATACACAGGTGAGTACAGTAATCGTGCACTCTCTGATACACAGGTGAGTACAGTAATCGTGCACTCTACACAGGTGAGTACAGTAATCGTGAACTATCTGATACACCGGTTTATAGAGTCGTGTAACGTGTTGGCACCAGAAAAAACAACACACTAGTGTAAAAAAAAAACAACTCATGTTCTCAAAGTTAGCCAGACTACTATCTATTGCTGGAGTGGTTGACCTACTTTGTTTTCTCTCCACAGATTCCACCCAAGGGAGTGCAACATGTCACTCCCGGAAAATCAATTAAAACAGTGTATAGACAGCGGCAACGCCATGTTGGGTTCTGTCAAAAACTTGTACCGGATATTGAATGATGTGTCGGGTGGGGAGGGGGTTTGACGACAGCATTCCTAGAAAAAGATTTCCAATGGATATTTATGTCTCATGTCAAAGTATTTATAGAGCTGTGAGTATTCCAATTGCGCTAAGGTCAAGGGCAAAATAAGAACATTAAGCAGCATTTTAAATGTGTTTACAACTGAAGAATTTACAGGCGATGTATCATTTATGGTCATAATGACGCTGTTAAATGCCAACACGTTTATAAAAATATTTCAACATGAAATGCAAAAAAAAAAAAAAAAAAAAAAAAAAACAAACAAAAAAAAACAAAAAAAAAAACGGAAGAACGCGTATAGAAGAGCGCAACGAAAAGTTGCACACGGAAAAATGCCGACGCAGAGACAAGCGCACGCACAAATTTGCGCACATGGAAACTTAACAGTCATAAATGTGCATACAGATAATTTCCTGTGTTCGCTATTTCCAATTGCGCACTTTGTGTGCATCTTTTCATGGAATCCCATGAACTCCTACAAGACTGTCTCAGCAGACATTACACACAAGTCTCGCGGTGAAACGAGACCATTTCGTATTGATGTCTTGCCGACACAAAGCCTACCCGATCAACATTGTCTGATCAATGTAAACCATGTGTTTCCAGTGGGTAACATCAACCACAAGCCTCGTCAAACTAGTCAATCAACCACACGCCAACAACCTTTTGTCTGAGTCATATGCTCTGGGGTCATACACAGTGTTTCTTCCAGACTTTTTTCTCCGGGGGGGCACTTGAAATTTTCGGGGGGGCGGTAGACTTTCTTCGGGGGGGCGGACACTGTTAAAAGTATATATTTTCTATATAAATTATATAAATTTCATTTTTTTCGGGGGGGCGGTAAAATTTTTTCGGGGGGGCAAAGCCCCCCCGAAGAGATGCCTGGAAGAAACTCTGGTCATACACATCACGTGATTAAAGTCTAGGCCCCCTCGTCACTTGCCGCTTTTTACGTGGTAATACTTGTATCAAAAAGAGTAATATTATAAAGAATATGTGAATATTTGACAGAATAATATGATAAAGAATATGTGAATATTTGACAGAATAAAATTATAAAGAATATGTGAATATTTGACAGAATAATATTATAAAGAATATGTGAATATTTTATAGAATAATATTATAAAGAATATGTGAATATTTTACAGAATAATATTATAAAGAATATGTGAATATTTGACAGAATAATATTATAAGGAATATGTGAATATTTGACAGAATAATATAATAAAGAATATGTGAATATTTAACAGAATAATATGATAAAGAATATGTGAATATTTGACAGAATAATATTATAAAGAATATGTGAATATTTGACAGCATACTATGATAAAGAATATGTGAATATTTGATAGCATACTATGATAAAGAATATGTGAACATTTGACAGAATAAGATTATAATGAATATGTGAATATTTGACAAAATAATATTATAAGGAATATGTGAATATTTAACGGAATAATATGATGAAGAATGTGCGAATATTTGACATTTATCATAAAGAATAATATTATAAATAATATGTGAATATTTGACAATCTCAAAAACCTGGTCTTAATAAAACACTTTATCATTCAAATTTAATTTTATTGAATGTGAATTAACTAAACCAAAAATCTGGCAACAAGGCAGACCAAGTTCGCATTGTTTGATCCAAAAACTGTGAAACTTGATGACATAAAGTTCACATTGTTTGATCCAAAAACTGTGAGACTTGATGACATAAAGTTCGCATTGTTTGATCCAAAAACTGTGAAACTTGATGACATAAAGTTCGCATTGTTTGATCCAAAAACTGTGAAACTTGATGACATAAAGTTCGCATTGTTTGATCCAAAAACTGTGAGACTTGATGACATAAAGTTCGCATTGTTTGATCCAAAAACTGTGAGACTTGATGACATAAAGTTCGCATTGTTTGATCCAAAACCTGTGAAACTTGATGACATAAAGTTCGCATTGTTTGATCCAAAACCTGTGAGACTTGATGACATAAAGTTCGCATTGTTTGATCCAAAAACTGTGAAACTTGATGACATAAAGTTCGCATTGTTTGATCCAAAAACTGTGAGACTTGATGACATAAAGTTCGCATTGTTTGATCCAAAAACTGTGAAACTTGATGACATAAAGTTCGCATTGTTTCATCCAAAAACTGTGAGACTTGATGACATAAAGTTCGCATTGTTTGATCCAAAAACTGCGAGACTTTATTGATCTTTTAGCCACTTAGGCGTATTGATTTGTAAAGATGCCATCGTATCTATTTTACCAAGAATACCAAAGTTCACTAACCTTGATGTACCGGGTCTTCTAACTTAGTATTTTCATTTATTGTTCAGATCTGCAGCATTAAAAAAGTTATACATAATAAATTGTAACTTTGTCATATCCTGTTCTTCTGATGTGCAATCAGCTAGATTACAGGGGTCTCCAAACTTTTCAGTCCGAGGGCCGCATTAACTATCAAATTTCAGTTCGGGGGCCAGTTTCTTACAGGCATGTCTTTGATTTTTCTGGGCAAAGTTCCTCAGCCATCACCAACAAACAATTTTTCATTGGACAAAAAGATCTCCGCGGGCCGGATGAAAGGACTTCGAGGGCCGCATCCGGCCCGCGGGCCGTAGTTTGGAGACCCCTGAGCTAGAATATTTCAAATTCGTTAATTTGACGAGAATGAAGAATGCATTTTCTATTGAATGAATTTCAGTTGAGAATTTTTAAAACATGTTAAATGATGTATTATGCATTTCTGTGTTCAACAAACTGGGCTGTTCAAGTTGAATTATGTGAAGTATTTGAAAATGTATGATATGTGATGTATTAGACAATATGTGATATGAAATAAAGTTGAAAAAGTGTGATGTTTCATGAATTAGACTGTGTAGTGTGTGCTATATTTGACAATGATGAAATAATACACCATGCATTGTGCCATTGTGTCTTCGTGAATTTTTCTCTAGAAAAAACACACGTAGTTTTGTTATATTTCACATCTTCAATACTGACATAAATATCAAAATAGTTTCGAAATGCGCCATTTACAGTTCTTTATTTAAAGTATACAAATACAAAGATACACAAGATTCTATTTATTATATACGATATAATCTAAAACAGTGGGGGGGGGGCACTTGAAATTTTCGGAGAGGGGGGGTGGTAGACTTTCTTCGGGAAGGCGGGCACATCGAAGACACAAATCAGCCAGACAGGTCAGCAAGACGCTTTTAATCCTAAACAAATCCAAAATTTTAGATATGTATTTTACGTCTTCTTTAACTGACCTGTAATTTAGTGTAATGTGTGATGTGGCCCATCTGGTTTCACTGACCTTGAACTTGTACTATGGTTAGGTCAAAACATGGTTCAAATAGAAATCGTGTCTCTGGTGTATGCGTGTGTGCCTGTGCGAATGTGTGTGTATGTGTGTCTGTGAGAATGTATATGCGAGTATGTGTAGGTGTGTATGCGTGCGTTGAAGTGAAAGCCACTGTTGCTATTCCAATACAATGAATATCAGTTACTGGGTACAACATAAAGTATGATAAAGTATTGTGCTACAAACTACCGTATAGTCTTCAAACAACCGTATAATGTTACAAACTACTGCATATGCTCTAAGTACAGCACTAAACACTTTTACAATTACCAGTAACACCGTAGCAGTGGCGTAGGCATGGGGGGGGGGGGGTGCAAATCGAAAGTTTGAGGGGGGGGGGGGGGGTGCAAATCGAAAGTTTGTCCCAGGGTAAAAATTGGAACCCCCCCCCCCCCCTTGAGACGATCCTGGCTACGCCACTGCACTGTAGTTAGCATCGTTAAGCTTTAAAGTTTTAGTTTAAGGTAACTTAAGATGGAAGAAACGAAATGCCTTCAACTGGGATGAAATAAACTCCTCTAACAACAGTGAACAAACATTTCCCAGGGACAACGAAACTGGTTTGAGCATAATATTTCTATTTATGACTAATTAGGACTAATTTATTTTTTAAAATTTATTGTTTCGTCCCTAGAACTAGAGGGGGGGGAGGGGTAGAAAAATCTAAAATGCCAACCACAAAAGTCACCAATGCAGTAATGTAGTACAGACCAATAAAATTAGAGAAATTATCAAACCGCGGAAATTTCAGTTACGTAAAAATTCTATATTTAGAATTTAGGTTAAAAAAAAAATAATTAGAAACTAGATCTAGATCTAGATCTAGGTCCTACGCGACAGGAACGCTTTTCGCATTTTTGTTTATTTTATTAGATCTAGAATCTAGATTCTACATCTTTTTTTGATCTAGATAGCATTTAATTTTAACATGTCATAAGTAAGTAGATGAAGAGTCTTCTTAAATGATCAGTACAGTTAGGCAATATAATTCAATATAGGCCTAATATAAATTAAATATAGATCTTCTATAGTCTATAGTAATGCTAGTCCTATTATAATAATAAAATAATAGGCCCTATTAATAGTATTAATTACTTAATTACTATATTAATCTATATTATTAATATTATTATACCTACATACATAGTACATACAACATAGTATCTAATATCTAAGTATAAGTATTACATTATACAGCCTAATGGTAGTAAATGTAATAGTATTTTTCAGGACTAAGTCAAGTTAACTAAGTTTACTAAGTTTTAGTATAGGCCTAAATTAAATTATTATTAACTGTTAGGCTAGGCTAATAGTAATACTTAATACACTTAATAGTATTAGTATTAGCACTGTTACTATTAGGGCCTAAGTAAAAGAAAAAGTATATAATAATAATAATATTAATAATATTAATAATACTAAAAATGTATGTTAGGCATACACAAGATTAGAAAGATGGTATTTTTGTCACAGGACGTAGGCTAACATAGACAATTAATGCACCCTTGTATATTCATGACTTATAGTTATAGTAAACATGTCGTTACTTCAAGGTTTCATGATATGGAAATGCCACAATACTGATATGTGTTATCTCCCTCTGCCACACTTTATTACTATATTGGGCTGTATTTGAACTTCTATAATCGACAGTGGTCGCTAGTTCGATCTTCCACACTGACGAAATCTGAGCGCAAATCATATGCATAAGTTGGGTGTGTGTCTATGACCAAACCCCAAAGACTGACTCAGCGAACCCTTGAGTTTTGATTGAACCCAGGTTAAAAACAATTGTTCTAGATACTACTGACTGTTGGTGTTGGTTATACTAAATATTAAATAAGAAATAAACTTTATGTTAAAAACTTAAACGTAAATAACTTGTGTAAATTTAATAATAAATAATAAGGCAGAAGGCCCTACCTAAATAATGACTAAAGCTAGATCTATAGTATATATGACATGTCAGTAAGTAATAAGATCTACAAATACTCTACTGCTGTCTGTGGCCTACATATAATTAGAAATCTATATAAACATAATTCAGTTTGTTTATCATTATCACTGCATTCTGTTTACAGAAGCAACTTTGTACTGTTCAGCTCAGCAGTTTAAAATATTTACACCACCTCCAAACATGACTGGAGAGAAAAGTAAAGAGGCTGGTGGTAAAGGGAGGTCAAGTGACAGCACTAAAACTGCCCCTGAAGTGAAGGAATCAAATGAGGGTGGTGAGAAGGATCAAAGTGTTCCAGTCAAAGACGTCAAGTCAAAGGGTGAATCTAAAACATCATCCAAATCTTCTAAACTACAGCCGCAGGAAGGGACAACAAAAAAGGCTGAGGATAAATCCAACAGAAAAAGGCCACACAGCCCAACACAAAAGTTAACTAAAAAGGAATCTCCAGAGAGTCCAAATAAAAAACCTAAACTTGAAGATACAAAGGTGTGAATGTAGAATTTACATTTTCAGAATTAAAAAAAAAGACAATAGCTCTCGGCATTAAATAGCACCTTCCCGCCAGATTACTCTAAATAATTATAGATGGACTGTTTACACAACTGATTACAGTAAATTATTATATGAGTTTCATATTAGTAATTACATGTACATTAGTTGAACATATTTATGGCAAAAAATGTAATACTTAAATTTTTCCTACCCAGAAATTGACAGACAGAAAAGGCAAAGTGTCAAAGCCAAAAGGTGAAAAAGACAAAGAAGAGCAGAAAAATTTTGAACAAGATATAGCTGAAGTAAGCATTGGTTCTATCATATTTGGACATTAACACAATTATAGTTGTAATAAGCGTAGCATGGTGGGCGTTGCTACAGTACTGATGATCAAGCGGGCTGAAGTTAAATTCCTTGACATTATGTTTTGATTGCAAGAATGAGAACATCCCCCATTAACATCGAACAGGTGGATGCGTCCAAATGCGCCTGGCATTTTCTTAAGTGGTACAGTCCTTTGCACACAAAAACACGTGTTCTGTGTATACCATTTTTATCTCATTATTAAGTGAATTACAATTTGTTATAACTTTTGAAAGCACATGGATGTTTAAATTAATTAATTATTCCAAGCTAAAATTTAAAATTTCCCTTTGGCCATCTTCTTTAAATCCTCGTCACTCCCTGTAGAGTATAAGGTAGCAACAAATCTTAGCCATTCTACTCTGTTTTGAGCGAGCCACTTCAATTCATGCCAGGTCTTGCCAGTAGCCTGCACTTCTTCTTCCATCTCTCTCCTCCATGTTCCCAGTGGTCTTCCTCTCTTTTGTTTTCCAGGTGGAGTCCATTTTAGCTTGACCACACACCTCAAGAAAAAACATTCAGAGTCTGGATTGTAAATGGCTAGACTAAAGATTTGTCAACTGCTTTGGAAAACTGATCCAAAAAGAAAGATTTAAAAAGAAAAAACAATTTGAAAGACTAGTAACATATTAATAATAGTAATAAAATGATTTCAGACAGATGGTCAAGAGGCCTCTGGAGGTGAAGAAAAAGATTTTATTCTGAGAGTCAAGAAAAAAAGGGAGGCTGTCTGCGCTGATGTGTCTAAATTTAAATTCAATAAGAAGCGTGTTCGGGTTTTGTCCAAAGCTGAGGAATGTCCAGACGGCTACAATGGGATTCTGTACTGGATGTCACGTGATCAGAGGGTTCAAGGTCAACCGAAATCTTTAAACTTTACTACCTTATCTATTATCAGTTTATTAAATTATTAGTTATAAAAATAAATAATACTCCCCATTTTGATTTCATTATCACAATCATAAAATGTCTTGTTTTTAAAAATTATAACCATACTATAGAATTATTTTTTTGGTTACTTTCAAATTCCTTTAGAAATATTCTCTGATGAATTAATGTAATAGTTTGTTCATGTGGACCAAACAATAAAAAATTTGAGAACCTTTCCTGCTACTGTTGTATGACCTTTGACCTTTCTATTTCAGACAACTGGGCCCTCCTCTATGCCCAGAGGCTAGCAATGAAGCTTGAAGTTCCCCTTCATGTCTGCTTCTGTTTGGTTCCCAAATTCCTTGAGGCTACCATTCGCCAATTTGGGTTTATGTTAAAAGGTTTAGCCCTTGTTGAAAAGGTTAGTGCATTTTTTTTAAAGCTGTATATAATTTTGAAAAACCAAATTTTGTAAGAAAGTTTCAAACTATTTATCTAGTTACAACAAAAAGTTGAAAAATATGAAAGGTTTACTTTATGGCTAGAAATTTTTTACTTATATCTCTCACTTCTATTGAATTTTATTGCCAGTGAGAGTTTTCAAATTTGTATTTATAAAAATTATTTGATGTCTGTTTCAGGAGTGTCAAAATCTGGGCATACCCTTCCATCTGTTGATAGGGGAGGCAAGCCATACTGTTCTACCATTACTTAAGAAACTCAACATAGGAGGGGTGGTTACAGATTTTTCTCCCCTTCGAGTGCCAATGAAATGGGTAAATGACCTGAAGACCAGTTTACCTAAAGACATACCTTTCTGCCAGGTAATTATTTGATTACTTCTATTTCTGTTGCAGTTTTTAAAATTGGTTTTTGTAATGTATTTTGTTAAATTACTCTTATAGATGTTTGTTGGAAATGTCCCTTTTCTATGTGGTTTACTGAATGCAGGTAGACGCCCACAACATTGTTCCCTGCTGGGAGGCTTCCCCTAAACTGGAGTACGGGGCCAGAACAATCCGCAGTAAGATAAACAACAAGCTTGGAGAGTATCTGACAGAGTTTCCTCCAGTTGTCAAACACCCACATCCTTCAGCAGAGAAGAGTTCTGTAAGTTGCCAGATAAAACCTTGAACATTTTGGTTTTTCAAACAAAATTTTTTTTTTTATTCACTTGAATGGCTTGTGAAGAGTCTTTCAAATCACCAAAAGTTTAATTAAGTAAAAGAGAAAAAAACAGAAATTAAATTAACTAATAATATGGTGTTTTTAGATATAAGGTTGAAGTAATCTGTTGAACAGTGACATATTAGTGATTGTATAAAGTTAGTTCAGCTAAATTTATTCAATACATAATTTAAAATATAAAATCAGTGACAGACATGTCCATTTTTGTCACCAGGCAACTGATTGGGAAAAAGCAGACAGCTATCTTGAAGTGGACAGGACAGTGAAGGAGGTGGCGTGGGCCCAGCCTGGTACTGAAGCTGGTCTTAGGATGCTGGAATCTTTCTGTGAAAAACGTCTCAAATATTTCTCTAGTGATCGGAATGACCCCAACAAGGAGGCGCTGAGTAACTTGTCTCCTTGGTTCCACTTTGGTAGGTGTAGTAGAGTTATACTATTGTGATTGGAGTTTTGAAGCATAATTTTTTGGCTTTTTGTTAGTATTGACAGTAGGCTACTAGGCAACTAAGTCAATTCACATGCTCACCCAACCAACTTACTTCTGTTGTTTACAAGGAACTTGTATCTTTTATCTGATCTACTCTGGTTCCTAAATCACCGTAACCCCTTAGTCTAAAAAGAATTTTTTACTGGTATAGAATTCTCACAGTGACAATGATTAATTAAAAATATTATCCTCTACCACTTTTTATTTCAAGTATTGGATTTTCTTCCATAGGTCAGCTGTCAGTCCAGCGCAGCATCCTGATGGTGAAGCTGTACTGCAGCAAATCTAGCGACAGCGTCAACGCTTTCATTGAAGAGGCTGTGGTCAGGCGAGAGCTTGCAGACAATTTTTGTTTCTACAACCCAGACTATGACTCATTCAAAGGTGAGATAAGATCGAATTATTTTTTTTTTTAAATTTCAAATTTTGTTATTGTAAAGAAATTTAAAAAGATTGTTGTACAATGTTTAGGTTGACATTAAAAATGCAAGTTCTATGAATTATCATTACAACTCGTAAGTTCAAAATAAAAGTAATAAAAAGCTAGTATCCGACAGAGTTGCCCTTCCCCCCCCCTCCTTAGTTACAGGCTGGCAGTAAATTTTTGTAAACAAACAGTAGCATCAGAAAATATTTAAATACACATATTTTTTTGTTGGTTAGGGGAATAGAAACTGCTTCACTATACTGTGTTGGCTCTATTGATGCAAAAGTCCTGCGAGGCCTTACTCTTCATTTGTTTCCTTTAGTTTATATTGCTTTTGTTAGTATCCTTTTGTAAATAAAAAGTTAAAAACATGGATTTTGTTACAGGAACAAATGACTGGGCCAAGAAAAGTCTGGAATTACACAGGAAAGATAAGAGAGAATACATTTACACAAGAGAGCAACTGGAGAACAGCAAATCTCATGATGATCTATGGAATGCTGCACAGGTGAAGGATTAAAATCTTATCATTTCTGTTGTTGAAGATATAAAAATATGTGTTGTTGATGTTGATTTTTGTGTTATTTTGGTTTTATAATGTTAATTGTTTTGTTATGAGAAATGGCTATTTTAGTTTTTTGTAAAATGTAGCAGTAAAGTTGATCTGATTTGTTTCTGACAGCGCCAGCTAGTGGTGGAAGGAAAGATGCATGGCTTTCTTCGAATGTACTGGGCCAAGAAAATTTTAGAATGGACCAAGTCACCAGAGGAGGCTTTAGCTGAAGCCATTTTTCTAAATGATAAATACAACATTGATGGGCGAGACCCTAATGGCTATGTGGGTGAGTGGTATACATTGAATGGTGTGACCCTAATGGCTATGTTGGTGAGTGGTATACAATATTGGTGGGGGAGACCCTAATGGCTATGTTGGTGAGTGGTATACATTGAATGGTGTGGCCCTAATGGCTATGTTGGTGAGAAGTGCTATTCACACAAGTTTTATTTGTAACCGTTATACTGTTATGTATTAGACGGTGTGTTCGAATGGTAAAGCTTTTGAATGTATACCCTTAAGACTTGAATTTGGGCTCTAATCCATACAACGTCCCTGAGTTTACCCATGTCTGATTGATCCTTGACATAGGGAAAATAAAAGCTGCTGACCACACCTTCATTTTTCTAGTCACTGAAACTGGTGAAATCTACTTCAGTCTACCTACGGACCGTAATTTTCAAAAGGGTACTTAGTTTACTTATGAATGTTTATCTTTAAACTTGTTTTGTTTTCATTGCTAATTGTTTGTAAATCACATTGTCTCCAGTTTTACTATTTCTGTCACTAGGCTGTATGTGGTCAATCTGTGGCATACATGACCGAGCGTGGCCACAGCGTCCAGTGTTTGGCAAGATCCGTTTCATGAACTACCAGGGCTGCAAGAGGAAGTTTGATGTGCCAGCTTTTGTCAGGAAGTACAACAAAAAAGTGGCCTGAATGTCTCATGACGACAGATTTTATTTGGAAATAACAAAAAATTACCTGACTGACTGCTAATGTAGTTTTTTAATACTCACAGGTGGATCCTTAGCTTTAGTCTAAATTTGCCTGATGAATATACATTTGTTTTAAAAATGAATTTTAAGTGCAATTTTTTAAATTATAAAATATCTTTGAGCAAGAACTTGTGTGAAGAACATATCCCAGGGGCTAGCCAGTTGGTACTTGTCAGTTATTGAAAGAAGTGTCTGTAACTTGACAGAACACATTATAAAGAAACATTTTCATGTTGAAAGAATAACCTCTGTTAATAGTTTGAATCAGAAAAATGTCAGAATATTACTTATAGCAACAAGTAACATATTCCAACAACGTTTGGCAACTTACATTCATTTGTAAAATTCCATGCATCTTTTAAGTATTATTTGCTCTTAGCTGTGGGCAACTTTTCCTCCATTGTCCCAGAGTAATTTCCCATTTTTAAAAATGTATAATTTTTATGTTTCTGGTTTGAATGAGCAAGAAGAAAATTTTATTTCTGGAAATTGTGTTATATGCTAAACATAAATGATTTCAACCTCAATGTGTCAATTATTTATATAATTAGCTACCAAGTTTTACTTTTGCAGTGGAAGTCAGTACCCTCTTTCTGAATGGCTGCTTTTTGTTTTCAAACTATAGGAATCACTTCATTCAACTGTGTAATGTTTCATAAACATAACAAATACTATCACTTCACAGTGTTCATCTAGATTGTAGTTTTAAATACTGGTTCGCTCAACTTATAACCCCCCCCCCCTCCCCCATTCACCCACCTGACTGCAGGCCCCTGTATTGTGTGTATTGTACTTATCAATATCAGAAGTTGAATCTCATTTAGATGGGCCTAAAACTTTTTCCCTTGCTGTCTTTATGGAATATTTGTTTTAAAAACTAGCCTCAAACACATCTATTTTGTTCAAACGGCAGCTAATGTTGATACTATTAAGTTGTTTGTTTTTTAATATTTATTTAATAAAGATTTTTATAAAGTGTATTAAACTTATAATTAGAGTAATGTGTCATTTAGATGTTGTTTTATAGCTATTTACCTTCAAAGTTTAGTGCAGGACTTGTACAAACTTTGTTGTTGGGGGGGGGGGGGGGTGTCTTTCCCTTCAGCCTCTACAGACAATGAAAGTAAAAATATCTGTTTGAACATGATGAGCTTGTAAGCAGCGACCCCCAACCTTCTGTATCAAATTGCATTTTGGACGCTTTCTTCTACTGTGTGGGGACGGCCTGGCCCAGCAGTAGAGCACTAGACTGCTAACCCACAAGTCTCAAATTCAAATCTGGGTTCAAGTCCGTAGAATGTCCCTGAGTCTGCTCAGTTCTGATGGATATCTAAATCAAGTAATGGAAAGTTAAGACTGCTGGGCATAGTGCTTACCACACTATACCTTCAAATATCTAGGTCACAAAAACAGGTGAACTCTTCTTCACTTGCCCCATGGACCATCAGGCCAAAAACTTTATCTCAAATGAGAAAGTTTATTGTCAAACTGGTTCAGTACCAGTTGTGTGACTAGTCTCTTAACCAGAGGCTCCATCTATTACTAATTAGGAACACGCGCTAAATCATCTTTATGTAAGCGGCATTTGTTTGGTAGGCTACTATTAAAATAGCCCCTTGTGTTTCAAAATTAGTGTTTAGTTAGTGCCTTGCAGGGTCAGGGGTTACACCCTCTCACGTCTGACATACTTAGGGTACTACAAGGGGATGATAATGAACGCTCTATTTTTGTAGAGCTGATCTGATAAAGGCGAGGCGATTTGGTGCCGTGTTGAGTGTAGTGTTTCTTCCGGACTCTTTTCTCCGGAGGAGGGGGAAAGCACTTGATATTTTCGGGGGGAGGGAGGGTGTAGGGGGGAGGCGGACTAAATTTTCCAGGGGGAGGGGTTCTATTCTGGTAGAAGTATATATTTTCTATAGGCTTATCAATTTTGCATATTGAGCATTTAAAGGATTATAATGTAATAAGTACAGGTTGTTGTGTCAAGACTCCCCCCCCCCTCAGTATGGGGCGCTTGGAGACAACTATGCGTCTGTGATGTACCAGATGAATGGTCTTTTATATATATAGAGAGAACGAATATATGAAAAATTATGAAATCTATAAACAATTTATTATATCATGTGCCACAGCTCGTAATTAAAACTTTTATTTATTATTATTATTTGGAGAATTAATGCGAAGTATCATTTATTAGTAGTATTAGCCAGCTAAATAAGTTTTGACCAATCAAACGCGAGACCTTCCTATACCGCGGGAAATATCTGTTATGTAAAGAAATTTCTATTTAGGTCAAGATGTGTAAAAAAAAATATCCCAGCACTTAAAATACTACAGATTATCCAGATCTAGATTCTAAGACTGAAGTGAAAGTCTTTTTTATTTTATTTAATAGTTTGTGTTCTTTATTATATATTTTTAAAACTCATCTCGATTTTATATTTAAACATATCTAAAAATCTAGAAGATTTAGAAAAGATCTATGACCAGCATTGTAACCCAAACAAGTTTATTTCTGACACGTGCAAGGACTCTTTTTCTTAGAATCGGCAAGACCGTAGTTATAAATAGATCTTTATCTAGTATATCTAGATACAGTGTATGTGTATTAAAGACAGAGGTAAATAATAATATATGTAGGCCTAGGTATTTATAATTTATGTAGAGCTAGGCCTAATATAATACTAATAGTAGGCTATTAATAATTTAATAGGCCTTGTAATACTTGTATAGTAGGCCTATAGGCCTATATATAATATATATAAATATACTATAGGCCTAGTCTATCTATAGGCTCTATTGCTATTAATCATAATTAATAGGCCTAATATAGGCCTTTATATATTTATTATTGTTATGTAGTAGAAAAATAGATAAAGATATGCTGACACAGCATTTGATGTTTTTACCTCCCCCCTCCCCTCCATCACACATTGTCACAAAAAGCTCTAAAATGACACCATTCCTCATCCTACAACTACATTAAAACAACCCCCTACAAAATTGCAGTTGATTTTTTTCTTAAAAACATTGATCTTATTCCAAAATCTTGTCTGAATTCTGTCAACATGGAGTATTTTAATCAATTCCTATTACAATTTATTGAAACAGTTTTCTAAAACGTGAAATAATGGTTAAAGTTTGTTTTCTAACATTGCTTTTTTATAATGCAAAAATGTAACTTCACACCATCTGAACCCCCCCCCCCCCCCCCCAAATCACATACTCACAAAATTATGGACCCCTACCCCCTTACGAGTTTGATGTCATTTATGGATGAACCCTTATTGTTAAGTATTAACTTATTAAGTAGGCTAGAGTTTGCTGTTGGTTACACCAATCAAAAACTAGATGGGCCTAATTAATTATTATATCATACATTTATTAGGTATACTAAGTTATTAATAACTTACTGCTAAGACTAACTACAATTAGGCCTATACAGTATTATAGTATACACTCAGGGCCTTTTAATTTGTTATTTTTCAATTTAGCCAGTCTAGCAGGTCAACTCATTTACAGCCTTATGATTTGATTTGGTATTCAGATAGAATGTAACAAGATTACTTGTCACTGCAGTAGTACATAGTTAAATTAATAACTAATGTATGTTTATGCTTGCCCTGCTTACAGAAACAACATAGGTCTACTACTATCAGTAGTTCAGCTCAGCAGTTCAAAATATTTACACCACCTCCAAACATGACTGGAGAGAAAAGTAAAGAGACTGATGGTAAAGGGAGGTCAAGTGACAGCACTAAAACTGCCCCTGAAGTGAAGGAATCAAATGAGGGTGGTGAGAAGGATCAAAGTGTTCCAGTCAAAGATGTCAAGTCAAAGGGTGAATCTAAAACATCATCCAAATCTTCTAAACTACAGCCGCAGGAAGGGACAACAAAAAAGGCTGAGGATAAATCCAACAGAAAAAGGCCACACAGCCCAACACAAAAGTTAACTAAAAAGGAATCTCTAGAGAGTCCAAATAAAAAACCTAAACTTGAAGACACAAAGGTGTGAATGTAAAATCTTAAAGTATTTTGAAACATTTGGTTTGTTGTTAGATCTTTATTAATGTTTTTTTTTTTTTACTTTAAGGCAATTTTTGGGACATTAAACATCATCTCAATCTAGGCTACTTTAGACTAATCATAGATGTTGTTTGTATAACATTAAGTATAAAAAAAAGTAATTAGTGCCTTCATGCATGCTAGTATGATCTAACATTTAAACTTTTCTCACCTAGAAATTGACGGCTACAAAAGGCAAAGTATCAAAACCAAAAAGTGGAAAAGACAAACAAGAGCAAGATGATCTAGAGGAAGATTCAACTGAAGTAAGCATTGCTTCTATCATATTGGGGACATAAATACATAGTTTTTTGTTACTGAAATCTGGCTTCTAACACAGCAAATAGGGGTGAGGTGGTGGAGATACTACTGAAAATCCATGTGTTCAAATCCTGGTCATTAAGTAGACATTCGATATCTGAAAGGGAAATTTTTACACTGGGCTTTTAAGATTTATCTTTTGCTTTCAGTTACTTAGATAGCTTTATAGATATTTTTTTAAAAAATCATTTAATCAGAGGAAATCTTTAAAAAGCAATTATCATGTAAACAGCAACTTAACTTATGAAAGACTTGAGTCATATTTATAAAAATGATTTCAGACAGATGGTCACGAGGCCTCTGGAGGTGAAGAAAAAGATTTTATTCTGAGAGTCAACAAAAAAAGAGAGGCTGTCTGCGCTGATGTGTCTAAATTTAAATTCAATAAGAAGCGTGTTCGGGTTTTGTCCAAAGCTGAGGAATGTCCAGACGGCTCCAATGGGATTCTGTACTGGATGTCACGTGATCAGAGGGTTCAAGGTCAACTGAACTATTTACTAAATTATGATAATCAATCACATATGCTTTCTGAATAATACATTCGTTTATCAAATAATAACAGTTGCCATTTTTATTATTATAACGGAGAAAAAAAACAACCACTGTTTTTTTTTTTATTTATAAATATATGGTGTATTGGACTATAAATTATAACTTCTTACAAGAAAGACAAAATTATTTATTTGGTTGCTTTCACATTTCTTTATTTGTGTGTTAAAAGCAATTTAATTTTTCAAATATCGTCAAATGATTAATTTTAATATTTCATTTATGTGGATAAGCAGAATAAAATATTTCAGAGCTTTCCTGCTACTGTTGTCTGACCGTTGACCTTTCTATTTCAGACAACTGGGCCCTCCTCTATGCCCAGAGGCTAGCAATTAAGCTTGAAGTTCCTCTTCATGTCTGCTTCTGTTTGGTTCCCAAATTCCTTGAGGCTACCATTCGCCAGTTTGGGTTTATGCTAAAAGGTTTAGCCCTTGTTGAAAAGGTGAGTACCAAGATGCAGGTGCATATATATTTTCAAGCAGTAAATATCTTTGAAAAAACAAAGTTTATAAGATAATATTTTGAAAGATTTACTTTATGGCTAGGAATATTTTCACTTATATAATACTATATTTCTCACATCTATTGAATTTTATCGCCAGTGAGAGTTTTCAACTTTGTATTTATAAAAATTATTTGATGTCTATTTCAGGAGTGTCAAAATCTGGGCATACCCTTCCATCTGTTGATAGGGGAGGCAAGCCATACTGTTCCACCATTACTTAAGAAACTCAACATAGGAGGGGTGGTTACAGATTTTTCTCCCCTTCGAGTGCCAATGAAATGGGTAAATGACCTGAAGACCAGTTTACCTAAAGACATACCTTTCTGCCAGGTAATGGTTTGGTTACTTTGGTTAATTTTATTTCTGTCGCATCTGTTAAATCTTGGTTTTTGTAATGCATTTTGTTAAACTACTCTTATAGATGTTTGTTGGAAATGTCCCTTTTCTATGTGGTTTACTGAATGCAGGTAGACGCCCACAACATTGTTCCCTGCTGGGAGGCTTCCCCTAAACTGGAGTACGGGGCCAGAACAATCCGCAGTAAGATAAACAACAAGCTTGGAGAGTATCTGACAGAGTTTCCTCCAGTTGTCAAACACCCACATCCTTCAGCAGAGAAGAGTTCTGTAAGTTGCCAGATAAAACCTTGAACATTTTGGTTTTTCAAACAAATCCAGGCAGGTCATGCTGTATCATATTTTTTAAATTTTATTCACTCATATGGCTTGTGAAGAGTCTTTCAAATCACCAAAAGTTTCATTAAATAAAAGAGAAAAAAACAGAAATTAAATTAATTAATAATCTGATGGTTTTAGGTATAAGGTTAAAGTAATCTGTTGAACAGTGACATATTAGTGATTGTATAAAGTTAGTTCAGCTAAATTTATTCAATACATAATTTAAAATATAAAATCAGTGACAGACATGTCCATTTTTGTCACCAGGCAACTGATTGGGAAAAAGCAGACAGCTATCTTGAAGTGGACAGGACAGTGAAGGAGGTGGCGTGGGCCCAGCCTGGTACTGAAGCTGGTCTTAGGATGCTGGAATCTTTCTGTGAAAAACGTCTCAAATATTTCTCTAGTGATCGGAATGACCCCAACAAGGAGGCGCTGAGTAACTTGTCTCCTTGGTTCCACTTTGGTAGGTGTAGTAGAGTTATACTATTGTGATTGGAGTTTTGAAGCATAATTTTTTGGCTTTTTGTTAGTATTGACAGTAGGCTACTAGGCAACTAAGTCAATTCACATGCTCACCCAACCAACTTACTTCTGTTGTTTACAAGGAACTTGTATCTTTTATCTGATCTACTCTGGTTCCTAAATCACCGTAACCCCTTAGTCTAAAAAGAATTTTTTACTGGTATAGAATTCTCTCAGTGACAATGATTAATTAAAAATATTATCCTCTACCACTTTATTATTTCAAGTATTTGATTTTCTTCCATAGGTCAGCTGTCAGTCCAGCGCAGCATCCTGATGGTGAAGCTGTACCGCAGCAAATCTAGCGACAGCGTCAACGCTTTCATTGAAGAGGCTGTGGTCAGACGAGAACTGTCAGACAACTTTTGTTTCTACAACCCAGACTACGACTCATTTAAAGGTGAGATAAGATCACCTGTTATATTATATTCTGTTTTTGTAAAATCATTTCTTCAATTTTTGTGAGGCAGTAACAAGGATAAGTTTTCAAAATTATCATAATTCCAATTGCTAATACTCTGTGAAGAGAGTTGCTACCCCTCCCACTTGTAGGTTATGCACCAGATTTAAGTAAACCAATGTTTGCAGCTGAAAATTGAACTAATTAGTTAATGAACTTGTAAGCCATACTTAATTGTTTCCCAGCTGATCTTCAGGTCCTTAGGTGGTGGACATCTTTAAGGCTTGGGGTAAATGTTTCCTTCAGCCTACTTTGATTATGAATAAAGGGAATAATTTCTTCTAAATAAAAAGTTAAAAACCTGGATTTTTTTACAGGAACAAATGACTGGGCCAAGAAAAGTCTGGACTTACATAGAAAAGATAAGAGAGAATACATTTACACAAGAGAGCAACTGGAGAACAGCAAAACTCATGATGATCTATGGAATGCTGCACAGGTGAAGTATTAAAATCTTATCATTTCTGTTGTTGAAGATATAAAAATATGTGTTGTTGATGTTGATTTTTGTGTTATTTTGGTTATATAATGTTGATAGTTTTGTTTTGAGAAATGGCTACTTTAGTGTTGTGTAGAATGTAGCAGTAAAGTTGATCTGATTTGTTTCTGACAGCGCCAGCTAGTGGTGGAAGGAAAGATGCATGGCTTTCTTCGAATGTACTGGGCCAAGAAAATTTTAGAATGGACCAAGTCACCAGAGGAGGCTTTAGCTGAAGCCATTTTTCTAAATGATAAATACAACATTGATGGGCGAGACCCTAATGGCTATGTGGGTGAGTGGTATACAACATTGATGGTGTGACCCTAATGGCTATGTTGGTGAGTGGCATTCATCATTGATGGGCGAGACCCTAATGGCTATGTTGGTGAGTGGCATTCATCATTGATGGGCGAGACCCTAATGGCTATGTGGGTGAGTGGTATACAACATTGATGGTGTGACCCTAATGGCTATGTTGGTGAGTGGTATACAACATTGATGGTGTGACCCTAATGGCTATGTTGGTGAGTGGCATTCATCATTGATGGGCGAGACCCTAATGGCTATGTTGGTGAGTGGCATTCATCATTGATGGGCGAGACCCTAATGGCTATGTTGGTGAGTGGTATACAACATTGAATGGTGTGACCTTAATGGCTATGTTGGTGAGAAGTGGTTTTTCAGTGAAGGGGGATGAACTAACATAGAAATTTGCTTTTGTTCTGTCTACCATTGGCCAGACCCAGGATGGGATGGCAAAAGTATTTCCATGATCTAGGTGGCAGGGGGCAAGTTAAAGGTCATCAACTCACCACTTCATGGGGTGAATGGTGACAAGTTATTGTAAAAATATATGTGGTTCATCTCACCACTTCATGGGATGAATGGTGGTAAGTTATTTAAAATATCTGTGTTTCATCTCACCACTTAATGGGATGAATGGTAGCAAGTTATTGTAAAATATCTGTGGTTCTACACCACTACCTTATGTAGGTAATGTTTATACTTGCTAGGTATAGAGGTGTAATTTAATGTGTGCACTTCATGCTTACCTTGTATCCAGTGTTGCTATTTTTATCTCCAGGCTGTATGTGGTCAGTGTGTGGTATACATGACCAAGGGTGGGCGGAGCGTCCAGTGTTTGGCAAGATCCGCTACATGAACTACCAGGGCTGCAAGAGGAAGTTTGATGTGCCAGCTTTTGTCAGGAAGTACAACAAAAAACTGGCCTGATTGTCTCACAGCAAATCTTGTCACAAGAATTTTGTCTCTCTTGGAGGTTTATCAATACTCACACTTCATGTCTGATTGATTAATATTTTAATTGGAAGTTTATCTGATGTATGTAAATTTGTACATACATATTAATTATTATGATGTGGTTCAATGTAAGTTCACTCAGCCTAGTATAAAAATAATAAAATCTTGCTTTGCCTGTACACTGACTGAATAAAGTTGCCTAGCAACTGTGTACATTCGCCTTTTCCAAATTTTGGAGTTAGAAAGTTCTTTCCCATGCCTGAGTAGCCTCCCTTTTTTGATGAGCAGGAACTAAATTTTTAAGAAGGTGTTGGCCACTTAACTAGATAGAAACTGGTCACCAAATGTACATGACAGATGTATGTAAAAACTTAAGCCTCTTGGTCATGTTGTTTACACGACTGGTTACCCAGTACCTAATGACAAGTCACTCTGTTACCCAGTACCTTATGACAAGTTACCCTGTACCTGATGACAAGTTACCCTGTACCTGATGACAAGTTACCCAGTACCTGATGACAAGTTACCCTGTACCTAATGACAAGTTACCCTGTACCTGATGAGCTGGGATAATGGCCTCGTCCTTAAAACTCTTGTATGTGGTCATCGCCACCTCAAGCTATGCACATAAGCTAGGCTGACTGGAACAGGTGTAAGAATCTAGCATTTCTCTCACCCATGTTACTGGCCTGTAAGAATCTAGCATTTCTCTCACCCATGTCACTGGCCTGTAAGAATCTAGCATTTCTCTCACCCATGTTACTGGCCTGTAAGAATCTAGCATTTCTCTCACCCATGTTACTGGCCTGTAAGAATCTAGCATTTCTCTCACCCATGCTAATGACTGTCCTGGATTTTTACACCTAAATGATAAATATAATTAATAGGAATTATGATGTTTACTTTTGTGTTGGTATAATATTATTTATCCATATTCTAGAATTTGTAATTTAGTATTTTCTATGAGGAAGTGTGTCACTGAACTGCCCCCCCCCCTCCCTTAGATCTCCTCTCCCCTGCTTTGATGCTCATTTTTAACATAGAACTGTTTTATTTTTAATGTTGTACCTATAATAAAATGTTTATTTTCTAATGATGTACCATAAAATGTTTATTTTTAATGATGTACCTATACAATATTTATTTTCTACTGTTGCACCTATAAAATGTTTATTTTCTAATGTTGCACCTATAAAATGCACTCATCAGTTTGATACACATGGCAGCCATTGTTGATATTAATTTGAATTTTGCAACATTTTCTGTGTAATAAAGTTTGAACTAGATTAATGAGCCCTTGAGTTGTTCTGTCGTATTTCTTTCCCTGCAGAGCTTAGCTGGTACAGGATAATCTATGTGGGCAGATGAAGTAGACTTTCAGCTGATTTTGTGATCTTAATATGAATGTGTGGTCAACATCTTGTCAGGTACCCATCAGACCTGCGTCAGAGGCGTAGCGACTGGGGGGGGGGGGGTACATATGTCCCCGGACGCCGACCTAGCGCCAAAATAAGCTCATTTTATGTGCTATTCTGAATTCTAAATATAAAAAATATATGGGGGGGGGGGGGGGGGGGCGCCAAATTGAAAGTTTGTCCCCGGGCGGGGTTGCTACGCCTCTGACCTGGGTAAATTCTGGCAAGTAATGGCTCAAACTACCCACCGTTCCCTGCTATCTGTAGACACTGGCCAACAATCTGCCTGCCTTCCTATCTGCTACTACATGTCTACAGATGGGGACGGTGGGTGGAGTATCTGTCAGTCTCGTCACGAAAGGGAACAATTTCACAGATAGTCGAACGCATGGAACAGTTTCATTAACCGTCAACGTTAAAAATCATTAAATAAAAGCGCAAATTATTTGAGATTAAAATCTGACGCGGACACCATCGGGAGACACCAACTTTTCAACCTTGAGAACCACTGATTTAGCCAGCAATGATCAAGATGGCTGATCTATTCCTAGTCAGCGCTTCGTGGGGTTATACAAATCAAGATTATCGGTTATAATCTATATGCTAATGAGCTTACAACCGAGGGGTCTACCCGACACGAGAATAATTCTGTTGTATTGATCCAGCGGGAATCTCGAGATGGCTTGTACAGGAACTGTAACGCTTGAGTTGACATCTGTTCTGTTCAATGGCCGACTAGATTTTTGAGTGGGAGGGGGTAGGGGTGGCTAAGGGTAGTGTTTTAGTGGGGTTTTTGTTGTTGTTTTGTTGTGGTGGGAGAGGTGTGTTCTCGTGGTGGGAGAGGTGTGTTGTTGTTCGACGTTTGATTTTTTCTTGCGTTTGTATTTGTTTTGTTTGTGTTTTGGTTTGTGTTTGTGTTCTGTTTGCTACTTTTTGTGTGTATTTTTGGTTTTGGTTGGTTGTGGTTAGGGTGGACAATGCCGGGTATATGCTGATTACTAAACACCCATGTCATGAACCTTTATAGATATGTTTTTCACAGAGGCCAGTGCAGGGCCTGGCCGGGACGGCTAGTTATAAAATAAATGTAGATCTAGTGTGAGCGTTTATTTCTTACAAGAGGTTTATACAGCAACACAGTAAAAAAAGTAAATTAGCCTTCAGTTTCTCCTCTATTTTTATAGCAAGAATCATCCCGCCCTTCTCTCTGGGGCTGCTACAATTGTAGTAATCTAGGAATGCCGGGTTGCCGGGTTGCTATAATTGTACTTCGTTGTGGTTGTCGGGTTGCTAAAATTGTCCTATGCTAGAGTTGTCGGGTTGCTCTAATTGTCCTATGCTATTGTTGTCGGGTTGCTCTAATTGTCCTATGCTATTGTTGTCGGGTTGCTCTAATTGTCCTATGCTAGTGTTGTCGGGTTGCTCTAATTGTCCTATGCTAGTGTTGGTCCAAACGGCGGACCACATGCGGCCCACCATACAATAGATACCGCCCACAGGGCCATAGACGACACTTTCGCTTTTAAACTTCCGGTTTTGTAGGTGTGAGGGTCAGCGAAAGATTGTTACACGAGTTAGGAGTTGGGTAAAAACGGTCCCATTTTTCCTACGATCTCTCACCACGGCATGATAGAAGAGAGTCGACGAACAAAAGACTAAATTCTTTGAAATCATTTTATAAAACTTTGTTCATGACATAAACCAACTGAACGGAATGAAAGCCGAAGTGTTCGGATCAGAGTTTTCAGACTGTTACGTACCCACGTGTTACAGGATCACACTGTATGACGGGATCAGTCGGGATCACGCAGCGTGACACGGTGTCACGTATAGGGCTTACATATGCCGGTTTTAAAATTCATCCAAAGATGTAATAATGCCAGGCTTGTAACCCCCCCATCCCCCTACCGACTCTGCCCAACCCCCCCCCCCCCCCCCTACCGACTCTGCCCAACCCACCCCAAATCGAACTAGGTAACATCTGTACGACGTGGCTGGTTCGAAGATTTTAGTTTTATATTTACAAAAACGTGGCAGACAGCTAACCCATGTTTACAGTCAGATAGTATCTTTAACCATTAATGCACAAATAATTATTCAATGTATTCCCAGCAAATGCATGTACACATGGCTATATTCATTTTATCGTAAAAAAAAAAATTTTTTAGAAGTAAATATTTTGTGTCATCCAGAGTCACATTACATGTTGGTGTCATCCAGTGCCACATGTTTGTGTCATCCAGTGCCACATGTTTGTGTCATCCAGTGCCACATGTTGGTGTCATCTAGAGCCACACTACATGTTGGTGTCATCCAGTGCCACATTGTACTATGTTGATGTCATCCAGTGCCACATATTGGTGTCATCCAGTGCCACACTACATGTTGGTGTCATCCAGTGACACATGTTTGTGTCATCTAGAGCCACACAACATGTTGGTATCATCCAGTGCCACATTGTACTATGTTGATGTCATCCAGTGTCACATGTTGGTGTCATCCAGTGCCACACTACATGTTGGTGTCATCCAGTGCCACACTACATGTTGGTGTCATCCAGTGCCACACTACATGTTGGTGTCATCCAGTGCCACACTACATGTTGGTGTCATCCAAATAATTCTTCCGCAATCGCGACACCCTTCGAGCTGCGTCATTCTTGTTTTTGTATTGGACATGTTCTGATTGTTCATTGATCAACTTTAACATCGTGTTTTTCTTTTCGTCTTCTTCGTTCATTATAACTTGTCAACTTGTTATGGCCATATCAGCCGATACTGTCGTTGAGTCGCTCATCACCATATAGGCCGTTAACTCCGATTTTCAGCCTGCTTATTTTTTTTTAACTTGTTTCCATAGTATTTGTCCAACCAAGAACAAACTACACGGCAGCAGTTGTTTAATTTTGGAGTTGTCTCTCCTATAAGAATTACTGTCCCCTGCTATCGAGCTATTTTTTTATTATTATATATTTTTATTATATATATATATATATATATATATATATATATATATATATATATATATATATATATATATATATAATTAAGTGACCAGAAATTAGGAATGTTGTAGTCCTACGCTATAACATTTTATCACATTTCTAATCTTGAGTGTAGTATGACAAAAAAAAGCGGAACTAGAACAAAACCTAGCTCAAGCGGCCTTCGGTTCGGTTACAAAATATCAATTCCTGGTGTCTTTAAAAATTCCATAAAACTGTGTTTTTTAATTAAGCCCTAGTCAGCCTTGTTTTGTTTGTCTTTTTTTAACGCCAAAAGTGTTTTCTTAACGGCCTCGCCATTAAAACAAAAGGTCGTCTGTCCAGTTGTGCAAGAAAGACAAACATTGTTGAAATGTCGCTGTCTTGTTTCCATTTCATCCATTTCGCTCGCATGGTCTCCCCTTTCACTGAGTCTAATTTAAAATGATTTGATCATGTTTTCCACTGGCTAAGAGTGCTTCCATATGTAAACATGGTGGTGACTCCGCAGGTAGATTGGTGTACTGTGTCAGAAAATGTGTAGCCTCGTCAAGTTTTGTTTACTCCCTGACACTCGTGAAATCAGACCCGACACTCAACAACGAGAGCATCAGTGGGCTAAAAATAGACTCACAGGAGCGAGGTCGGAGAAATGAGGTCAAAACAACAAACCAGATGACTATATTTAAATTAGCCTTGCGGAGCAACATTTTCTCACATAAAATTAAAATTAAGTGGTACTGGTTGGAATTAATTAAATTAGGCTAATGAGTTTGATAATTTCTGCTTGAGCGAAGGCTCAGTGAAAATGGGAATTTGTTCCGCATGTAATGCAGGACGGTTTAGGAATCTTCCAACACGTTGTTGAAATTGTAGGGTCAGTGGCGAGTCGCAGTGTTGGACTGAGGCTGACCAGGCAGCACCCCAGGGCCCCTGACTTTAGAGACCCCCCGCCCCCCACATACAACTTTATCTAACGGCCAATGGCGAATTTCCAGACAAACAACAGCACTACTAGCGTGTTGCTAATTCTACTAAATTAAACAACAGCACAACTAGCGTGTTGCTAATTCTACTAAATTAAACAACAAGCGTGTTGCTAATCCTACCAAATTAAACAACAGCACTACTAGCGTGTTGCTAATTCTACTAAATTAAA